GGATTTTTAGTAATTTCAATTGTCTCATTATTGTCACAGAAAAGAGTCATGATTATGCTCTTCGAAATCTTAAGCTCTTTAAGCATCCTTCCTAGCCAAATTCCTTGACACATAGCCCAAAGTTCAGCCTTTACACTACTTCTAGGCTTCTAGCTACGACCGATTGATTCTTACTTCGCCAAATGACAAATTTACCCCACACAAAAGTACAATACACTAGATCCTCCCCAATATGCATCCGTGAAGACTTTGACTTCTCGATTAGACATCTTTTTGAAAAACAATCTAGCTTCCGGGTTCCTTTTTAGATAGTGAAGTATTTAGAATACAACATCCAGGTGTTATGTTTTTGGAGAATTTACGAACCTGCTCACCATGCCTACTACAACCTCAATATCAGGTCTAGGTCTTGTATGAGCATGAATTTACGAACAAAAGATGGGGATGTTGAGATTATTATTAGTTGTTATTTAGTTTCCTTATTTCTCTCGTTTTCTTATTCCTCAAGGACTTGTATCCTTATCTTATTAGGTTATATTCATATAAATACCTTGATGTAATCTCGTTGTAATCAATAAGAAAATCAGAAACTTTCTTAGCCTAAAATTATTATGGTATCAAAGCAAATACTGGAGAATCAATCCTAGTGCTTGTCCACAATGGTTGGCGATAAACCAGAGTCGTCCAAAGGAGAAAAATCCATCATCGACATAACTTCACCCTACTTCCTCACCAGTTCTGATCACCCTGGACAAAACTTTGTAGGAGAAAACCTTATGCGCGATGGGAATTATGGAGACTGGGAAAACGAGATGATCAACGCCCTTTTTGCCAAGAACATAATAGGGTTCGTCTATGGAACCCTATCTATGCCGCAAGAAGATTCAGAAGATCTACCAACTGGAAGATATGCAATGGGATGGTGCGAGGATGGATGGTGAGTTCTATGGAGAAAGAGATAAAGAAAGAGAAGTGTGAAATGCGCCACCACTGCCAGGGATATATGGTTGGATCTCAAAGAAAGATTTGGAAAAGAGAATGCTCCTCCAGCGTATGAACTGCAGCGTGCAATTACCACTATACAACAAAAAAAAAAAAAAAAAATTGATTGTATCATCATACTACACAAAGCTAAGGAGTGTGTGGGATGAAATTCAGTCCATCAGTCAAATCCCTGCATGTTCATATAATGGATGTCTATGTGAAATCAACAAAGAATTCACTAAACTTCGAGATAAAGAGCATCTATATGGTTTCCTTATGGGGTTAATCGAAGAATTTATTGTTGTAAGGACTCAGATACTCAGCAGCAGCCCGCTACCTACTCTAAACGTTGCATACCATCTTGTTAGACAGGATGAACATCAACGACAGATTGGCATGTCACGCATCCCCAATTCAGAATCTTTGGTGTTCCATACAATAGGAAAATTGTTTCCCGTCAAACTAATCAGGCTAGATCGCAATCAAACTTTAAATAAGACAACCGAAAATTCATAAAATCAGATGAAAAGTGGTGCACACATTGTCAAAAGCCTAGTCATATGGTTGAAGGCTGCTTCAAATTAATTGGGTATCCGAAGTGGTGGAACACGAAAGGCACAAATAGAAAGAATCAAACCAGTAAACAAAGAATGCAAGCTAAAGATGCAACAATCGTGGAAGAAACAAGCCCTCCCATGATCACAAAAGAAGAATATGAAGATCTCGTGAGCATGCTAAGGGCTTCCAACAAAACCAATAATCATCCTAAGGCGAATATGAGGGGTAAGAATATTCCTAAGGCCTATATGACTAGTGAGATTAAAAACCTAATTTCTTGGATTATTGACTCTGGAGCCCGTGAGCATACTACTCCACGTACATAATGATTGAAAGACCTTAAAACTAATCAACATAATAGTTATGTCACTATACCTAATGGTAAATCTATACCTGGTAAACACACTAGCAACATACATCTAACTAACGATTTTAGTTTGAAAGATATATTGAATGATCCAAATTTCAATTGCAACTTGCTTTCTGTAAGTCGTCTTTCAAATGATTTAAACTTTTCCATAACATTCCTTCCAAAAGCATGTTATATATAGGACTTACGTTCAAGGAACCCGATTGGGACGGGTAAGGAAAGTGGTGGATTATATTACTTGGAGTCGTTCATTGAGAGTATGGTGGCAATGGCAGTTTTAAATAAGGAGATGGTTTAGCATAGAAGATTGGGTCACGCTTCAGAGGGAGTATTGAAGAAATTATAAGTAGATGTAGGTAATTGTAATTGGCTTTGTGATTCATGTCTTAGAGCAAAACAAACCAAACTTGAAGTCTCTTTCAAAAAAAAAAAAAAAAAAAAAAAAAAAAAAAAAAAAAAAAAAAAAAAAAAAAAAAAAACCAAACTTCCTTTTCATATTAATTTTTCCAAAACAATAAAGATTTTTGAGTTGATACATGTTGACATTTGGGGTCCATATCAAAAAGCTACTATAAATGAAGAACATTATTTCTTGTCAATTGTTGATGACTATAGTAGAGGATGTTGGGTTTATTTAATGAAAACTAAGTCTGAAGCAGGTCATTTTCTTATCACATTTTGCAACATGACTAAAACCCAATTTCATACAAAAGTTAAAAGGATTCAAACTGATAATGGTTCAGAATTTAAGTCTAGATAATTGATGGAATTCTAAAAAAAACAAGGAATTATTATAGAAACTACATGTCCTTATACGCCATAACAAAATGGCGTAGTTGAAAGAAAATACAAACATCTCTTGGAAATGGGTCAGACATTACGTTTTCAAGCATCGTTACCAATAGAGTTTTGGGGAGATTGCATCTTGACTGTAGCCTAAACTATCAACAAACTCCCTACCAAGGTCCTTGAAAACAAAACTCCTCATGAGATGTTACTTGGAAAGATACCAACATACAATCACCTAAAGGTTTTTGGTTGTTTTGCCTATGTTCATGACAGCATTAGTAAACGTGATAAATTTAGTGAGAAAGGTAAACCATGTGTATTCCTAGGTTACCCGATGGGACAAAAGGGATACAAGTTTTTTGACCTAAAGGAAAAGAAGCAATGAGAAAAGAAATTGGCGGAGTACAAGAACAAAGAGTAAACCAAGACACTTGAGCGAGTTTCTCATGGATCTGCCTCCATCTCTCGAACATTCCACCACCGTTCATGTCGTGATTCCCAATTCATGGTACATCCCATCTCTCAACTTGTCTCTTATGATAAATTTTCTAAGTCTCATCAAGCTTACCTTGCAGCCATCACTTCTCATGATGAGCCTACAATTACTGATCCAAACTAGAAAGAAGCAATGCAAAGAAATTCAAGCACTTGAAGACAATGGAACTTGGGTCATTCTTTTACATCAAAATGATATCAAAGTTTTGCAAAGTTAGTTCCTCAAATTTATATTATTTATTTCTAATTTATTTTAATTGACTAGCTATAATTTAAATATAATTATTATTAATTGTAATATTATGTTATCTATTCGTTGATATTAATTGATCATTAAAAATAAAAATTAATTTATATGGTTTAAATTTATTTAAAATTTTAAATATGTTTTAAAATATAAAAGACCATGACATTTTTTTTATAAAAAGTTATAATTTACATATATCTTACAATACACATAGCATATATAACACATGCATTTCTCGTTATAGTATCGGCTAGGTTCATCATTTGATGAAGATATGGAATGTCTTGCTTTTCATTTGGGCAAAAAGGGAACGGGGTTCTTTTTATGTTTTCAGACATATCATTAAATCTGAAAGTTTAAGGGGCAACTTATAAATTAAGAGGCATAAAAACATATCCAACCAAACAGTCTACATCTGAAAAATTAAGAGTTTGTCTCTTAATTTTTCAATTAGGAGGCTACCAAACAGGACCTAAACCAAACCCTGGTTGAAACTTCAAGATTTAAACTTAAGACCCTCCCATATAGAAGCCCAAACCTTATCTCGTTATCCAACGAGCCATCAAGGTGATGATTATAATAACACATAAAATCAACGTATATATTGTACAAGTAATCTAATCTAATTGAATCATTTTTGTATTTTGTAATATTCTAGCACCTAGCTAGTTGTTTTTAACATATTGCTCGTTCAAAAAAAAATCTAATAGAAGACGACCCATAAATATTTATTTTTTTCATATATATTTTTAATATTTCTATAAATACATGGTGTTATATATATATATATATATATATATATATATATATATATTATATATATATATATATATATATATATATATATATTCATTTCATAAAAAGTTTGATTTAATAAAATTACAATCAATTAAAGCTAATCAGATACGGAAAAATATTTTGTTATAATTTTATGGACATACAAGTTGTAAAGTTAATATAACAAAAACATACATATATTTAAAATATTTAATATAAATAATGATTTTAATAATCTACATAAATTACAAAAGATATACTAGTTATATACTTTTTTTGGTATTATTCGATCCATTTTTTTGACCATTGCAAGTGTGCCGTTATGGTTTGGAGATGCTCTAAACATAGCAAAAATTTAACGACACCAACGTCATAAAGAGTAAAATGTCAAACTCCTGCATTGATTTCATCAAACCTAAGTAAATATAAATTGAAACACCCATCTCCCTCTTCAATACATGCAGAAAAAAATGCCTTCTTCAAGATTTATTCTCGTACTTCTTATATCACTAACTCCATTTTCATCTTCACAACAAATTCAAGAAACCTTCCATCAATGTCTTTCGAACATCCAAACCCCCAACTCTTTCTTCACCAAAAACGACACTAACTTCATCTCAATCCTCAATTCCCGGGCTATAAATCTCAGATTCACAACCCAATCAACCCCAAAACCCGAATCCATTTTCACCCCTTCAAACGAATCCCACATCCAATCCGCGGTTATTTGCGCTAAAAAACTCGGGATTCATCTTCGGATAAGAAGTGGTGGACACGATTATGAAGGAGTGTCCTACACATCGGTTACGGGTCCCACGTTTGTTGTCATTGACTTGTCAAAGATGCGAGCAGTCAACGTTGACTTGGCGGATAATTCCGTTTGGGTTGAGGCGGGGGGCCACAATCGGTGAGGTTTATTATCGGGTGGCGGAGAAGAGCAAAACGGTTGGGATTCCGGGGAGTATTTGCACGAGTTTGGGGGTGGGTGGACTTGTGTCGGGAGGCGGGTACGGGTCGTTGATGAGGAAATACGGGCTTTTGGGGGATAACGTGATAGACGCGAGAATTGTTAATGCAAATGGGAAGATTTTAGACCGAAAATCGATGGGGGAGGATGTTTTTTGGGCGATACGCGGTGGTGGCGGGGGTAGTTTCGGAATTATTGTTTCGTGGAAACTGAAACTTGTATCTGTGCCTGCCACTGTCACTGTTTTCAATGTTCCAAGAACATTGGAACAAGGCGCTACCAAGATTCTTTATAAATGGCAACAAGTGGCACCAAATTTCGATGAGGATCTTTTTGTGAGAGCCTTTATTAGTCGTACAAGTGATAAAACACTAAGTACAACTTATCAAGCGTTGTTTCTCGGTAGGGGAGACAGACTGTTGGAGATTATGAACGCGGGTTTTCCAGAATTAGGAGTAAAAAAGGAGGATTTTATCGAAATGAGTTGGATTGAGTCGGTTATGTTTATCGGGGCATACCCTTTAAACACCCCGCCATCTGTCCTACTTGATGGAAAACCGAGGTCTTTGAATTATTTCAAAGCAAAATCGGATTTTGTGAAGGAAGAGATACCGGAATCGGGGTTAGAAGGATTATGGAAAATAATGTTGGAAGAAGGAAGTCCTTTTATCATTTGGAACCCGTACGGCGGAATCATGAGCAAGATTTCGGAATCGTCTATTCCGTTTCCGCATAGGAACGGAATACTTTTTAAGATTCAGTACTATAGCTCGTGGATGGATTCTGGAATGGAGGACAAGTATGTAAGTATGAATCGGAAGGTTTATGAGTATATGACAAAGTATGTTTCAAAGTCCCCAAGAGAAGCTTATGTGAATTATAGAGATCTTGATCTTGGAATAAATGGAAAAAGTAATGTTAATTGGGGAATTAACTACTTCAAAGATAACTTTTCTAAGTTGAGGAAAATTAAGACCAAGTTTGACCCTTCAAACTTCTTCCGTCACGAACAGAGCATCCCTGTTCTTAAGTGACAAACTAGTGAAACAATATAGTTAGAATAAATAATGGGGGTTAATTTCATAAAATGAATTTAAATAATGGTCAATTTGTGCTTTTGTTTTTTAAGATGATAATTTTTTTAAATGTATCTAATAAGGCAATAAACTATTATTGGTATTTTATTTAAGCCATTTTGTCAATGCGACAAAATTGGACATATGGGGCGTGTTCGGACATGCAATTTTTAGGAGTTTTTAGCTTTTTAAATTTTAAGAAATACTCAAATTAAAAAAATAAAATCCATTCGGTAGTAGGCCCCGGCCCTGTGGGTGTGCAAGGTGTGCAACCGTACAGGGCTCCGAAAAAAACAGAGCCCGAAATTTTACAAAATTATGTGATTAAATAGTTAATATATATTATCTTATTCAAATCTGAACATAAATTTGATTTGGTTCATGTTGTAAAGGGCTTCATCCTCCGTTCGAGTCTTGTTACTTCACTATATTCTTGTCGCTAATTGTTCGGTATATTCTTGTCGCTAATTGTTTGTAACGGATTTCCGACGGCTATGGCTAATTTTTAGTGACGGATTTTCTGTCGGAAATAGTAACGGATCACCAACAGAATATATTTTGCAACAGATTACCAACGGAATTTGTTTGCAACGGATTACCGACGGAAAATTTTACTAACGGATTACCTACGGAATCTGAAATAACTTACTAACAGACTACCGACGGAATTTGGAATAACTTACTAACAGATTACCGACGGAATCTCGAAATGACTACAAATTATTAGCGACGGATTTTGGTATTATTAAAAATTTACAAATTAATGAAGAAATTAAAAACTAAAAATAATTACATATTCAATCCATATTGTCAAATATCATAAATTTCAATCCATATCGTCAAATATTGTTAACAACCAATAGAGAAGGAAATAGCAACATACTTTACTATTTTTACCACAATATAGTGAACGCATTTACAATGAAAACATAATTTACATAATAACAAATTTACATCTTGTTCTTTGTGGAAATAGCTGAGTGTGCTCCATTGATTATTGGAGGCAGAGACTATACACGTCCGCAAAAAACATACTTCCATTATTTTGTTTCTAATAGCATCTTATTTATTTCTTTTTAATCTTATTGCATCATTGTACATTGAAAAATATACCAAATTATAGCAATAGATCCAAGATATCCCTAACCAACACTACTAATCACCTATTTATACCAAGTACTGACCTAATTAATCTAACAAGATAATGACCATATTGCCCTTAGTAACTAATTAAAGACAACTACCAAGATTAAACCCAGGCCTACTTAGAAGTGTGACATAAAGATGACGGTTAAAGAGAGTTAAACTAAAATATTATAAGTTTTAGAGCATTAAACCTTGCAATGTGTTTTGCTAATTCATGTTCAACTTATTTTATTAAAGATACTTGACCATTGCATGAATTCTGAAATATTATAACATAAAATTTCAACCAGCATGACCATAACTACTATAAAGAGTCGGTAGAATACCTGTTTTTATCATATATAACAGGGTACATAGGTGAGTCTTCAATTATGTGCAAGTACTCTTCAGTTTCATATCTGACTGCATTAATAGAAGGCAAACAAGGCTTTCAAAAATTGATTCAATGGGCATAGAACTCTCAAAATAACCAGGAATAATCTCTCTCTCACACACACACACACATTCAAACATAATTCAAACATAAGCAACAGAAGTAGTTGATTACTTGATAGGAATATAAGTGAAGACCAGTGAAAACATATACACATAAATATAAATACACACACACAGGGCCTACCTATAAAAGAAGTCATCACAGCATAAACAAATCTCTTACCACTCCAGGGGAGGAAAAACGTTAAGAAACTGTAAAAAAAAAAAAAAAAAAAAAAAAAAAAAAAAAAAAAAAATAGACCATTAAAGAGTTATCAAGAACAGAACATACTAACGAGACAAAAAGTGCAATTTTTTTCATTTTGTTTTGTTTTCATTTTAGGTTTGATTTATGGGTTTTTGGACTGAATTTGGTTTTATTTTTCGGGTATCTTGAGGAAGATGAAGAAAACAAGGGCAAAATGGTCATTTATCAAAAAACTTTTTAAATAAAATTAAAAAAAAAGATTTAAAAGCTCACAGTCACCTGCAACATCAACAAAGACCTCACGTTTGTAGCCTTTGTGTCTACCCAACCAGAAGAAGGGCAAGAACTCCACCAATAACCGCAATTACAATTCCTGCCTTTGATTTCTTTGAAGAATCTACAACATTGTAATTTAATAAGGTTAGTTAAATGTAAAAAAAATAGCAACATACTATTTTTTTTTTATTTGTTTATTATATAATTATAGCAAATTTCATCCAAATAGATTGAGAATCTAAAAAATCTTCACCTTATTTGCATATAAACATAAAGAATCTTCACCTTATTTGCATATAAACATAAAGAATCTTTAACATTCCATTGATACTATTTGATTGTTTTTCTCATTTATATTTTTAATGTGTAGGATCTTGAGCCAAAACAACCTTGAAGGACCTATCCTTGAATCACTTTTGTAACATCCCATTTTTTCCAGTAGCTTCAAATTCATCCCTCGGATTTTAATTAGGTCATTTTGGCCCTTGATTTAGAAGGAAGTGGCAAAAGGAGGCCCTAGTGGCAAAATGGTAAGTTTGGAGACGTAAGTAGTACATCGGGTGACATGTGGTACGTTGGGCGTACACATGTGTACGTTGGCCCAGTGTACACATGTGTACGCCCAACGTACCACATGTCACCCGATGTACTACTTACGTCTCCAAACTTACCATTTTGCCACTAGGGCCTCCTTTTGCCACTTCCTTCTAAATCAAGGGCCAAAATGACCTAATTAAAATCCGAGGGATGAATTTGAAGCTACTGGAAAAAATAGGATGTTACAAAAGTGATTCAAGGATAGGTCCTTCAAGGTTGTTTTGGCTCAAGATCCTACACATTAAAAATATAAATGAGAAAAACAATCAAATAGTATCAATGGAATGTTAAAGATTCTTTATGTTTATATGCAAATAAGGTGAAGATTTTTTAGATTTTCAAGCGTGGCCCAAATTTCATCCAACATTGTGAGGCTACTGATCAGGTTCTCATATTCTTCAGGTATCCCCCTGTTATTTGATTGAGAAATTTCGAGAAATAACCAAAAAGGAGGAGGGTTTTGAAGAAAATGACCATGTAAATGAGGATTTTGGAAAATGACCACAGGTTCAGCAGAGGGGGGTTATGCGGAACCATAAACACCTCTGCGGAACCATGAACACCTCTGCGGAAATTGGTTTTTTTTTTTTTTAAATTCGTTTTTTTTTATTTTTGTTTTCGTTTATTAGTATTATTATTTTTTTAATCACATAAGGTATTATGTGATTATTATGTAAAAACTTTGTTTTCGTTTTTCCTTTTTCTTATTTAATTATTCGTTTAAAAAAGTTATGTGTTTAATACAAAGTATACAAATATTCCATGTTTTTTATAAAATTACACACACCGGTATTCTGAATAATAAACATATTTTAAGTAGGTTACAAAACATACTTTAAAAAACATAAACATACAACCTTCATAATAAACATACTTTGAAATAAACTTCATTCATTCAAATCGAACCACGGAAACTTTGATCTGCAGAAGTCCTGGTAAGGAGTTTTTGACACATCACTTAGCCACGTAAGAACTGTTTTTTGCGGATCAGTGTACACCTCTGCGGATCAATGTACACCTCTGCAGATCAGTTATAGAACTGTTTTCTGCGGATCAGTGTACACCTCTGCATAACTGTTAGGGAATACGCAGAACTGTTTTCTGCGGATCAGTGTACACCTCTGCAGATCAGTGTACACCTATGCGGATCAGTGTACACCTCTGCGAATCAGTTATAGAAGTTATAGACGTATTTAAGTGGTTTTGTGAGTTTGAGTATATTCAAAAAGAGATGAGAGGGTATTTTAGTCAATTAATATAGATTTAATAAAGGAAAATTGCATATTTTAAGGGATCATAGATTCTATTAATTTTAAAAATCCGATTTTACGAATTATAATTCTTTTAATTCGGACATTCTGACAGAATGTGTTTTTGAGTATATTCAAAAATAAAAAATATTCTTGAACCATAAATAATAAAAATATTCTCGAACCTATTTCTTGATCATGACTTTAAAAACTTCTTGTAGAATAACAAATTCTTGAACAATTAATTGAAGAATAAAAACAAAAGATACATTATTTCTTATAGAATACGGGTAACAATTGTTAATAATTACATTTATTGTTAAAGAATAAAACTAAAAAAAATGTCAAAACGGGAAAGAAAACATCAAAATCTAACAACGACACTAATACATTATAAAAGAATAGTGTTGCTTAGAATCACTTTCAATTTTGTGGTCCGTTCTTCAAGCATTTCTGTGAAAACAAAACCAAATTGTAGTTTAGATTCCAACAGAATTGGAATTCATGATTTCATTCCAACAGAATTGGAATTTATGATTCCATTCCAACAGAATTGGAATTCATGATTCCTTTTATCTTCTTCATGTCAATCTCAAGAATTGTACCACACGTTTATGTTTTCTTTCCCTTAGATCACAATGTGCTCCATATCTATCAAAATTCACAACTATACAATAAGATCATCAAGAGAATTGATTTTTTTTATCTATTTAACTAGTAAAACCCAATCAAAAGAAACATACTCAATCAAAGAAGATATCATCACCATTGTTTTCCTGCCAAAGAACACCACTAGAGATGGTAAATTACATTAGAGATGGTAAATTCCCCACTAGAGATGGTAAATTCCCAGTAATCAAGAGAGAAACATTTGAAAGCAAAACATGTTACGTTGTTACCAGAAATTACATTATTACCCCTAGTGACAGAAATGCTTGATTGTAATGGGGTTCAGTCCTTTCTTTAATTCCCCAATCTGTATATATTTACACACACACACAAATAAATAAATAAATAAATAAGTAAAAACTGATTAGTGTACCTTTAATTTCGTTATATATCAATCAAAGGAACCATTACCGATATCCAAAATAGTTTTAGTCGTTTTGTGCTCTGTTTAGATCACTTTTCAAATTAGTAATACCTATATATCTATCTTTTAATTCGTGTGGTCTGTGTATATATATAAATCAACAAAATTTAAATGAGAAAGAAAATACTTACAACAAATCTAGCAGACAAGAGACACAAGAGGATGCAAATACCCAAAGCCTTCCCCTAATTTCATCCGAGTTTTCTCACTTCACCATTCTATCATCTTCCCCACCTGGCTCCGTTTAAGTCTTTTCAGTTCCAGAACCAATAGAAAAGGGAAATCTTCACCGGAGCTCCAGGAGCAAAACCCATCAACGAAACCACCAACAAGATTAGCAAATTCATCTGGATCAATCACTTCACCACTATTGTATAAAGAAGAAGGAAACAACGGTATATAGAGGAATGGAAAACAAAAAGCCCTAATTTTTAGATTGAAATTGCATGGTGGTTCTTCAATTGAAATGTCGGTTTGTGCTTAGATAAGGGCAGCGTCGGAGGTGGTGAGGTTTTTTTGAAGTGCTTTGCTGGCTGGATCAGGCCCTGAGAAGGATGAGAACATAAAGGGAGATCGTAATTTGCGAAAAATAGGGTCGAAGCACCACTTCTCCGATCCCGTATCTGATCCCATAAAGCGCAGAAAGGTCGGATTCTCCAAAGTCGGTGAGTTTTCCGGTTCTCTGTCTTCTGTCGATCGATTCTTCTCCCCCTTGATTCGTGATCACTGGTGGACCAAGGAGGAGTCCTCCGGAGATCGATTGCCCATCTTTGCCCGATGCTTCTCCCCGATCTTTGCCCGATCTGTTAGTCAGGTGATGAACACGGGGAACTAAAGCCCTTCTTTTTGTTTCAGTTCATTCTTTTTTTATGGAAGACATCAGCTGTATATAAGAAAAGAAATTAGGTTAAAATTGAATGCTAGCAAGATTATAGGGATTATTTGCGGAAGCTAATTATCAAATTACTAAAATACCCTTGTTTATTTATTTAGTTATTTAATTTTTTACTTAATTTTAATTGGTTCACATTTATGCATACAATAACACAATACTTAGTTTAAACAATTGAACCTAGCTATATATATATATATATATATATATATATATATATATATATATATATATATATATATATATATATATATATGTGTGTGTGTGTGTGTGTGTCGAGGGTTTCAAATATTTTATAGAATAAAACAATAGCTTGACATGCTTTTTTTTTTGTGTATTGAGGTATGAAATGTTTGACAAAAAGTACACTAAAATCCTACTTTCTCTTGACAAATATTTCATATAACTTATATAATCATCAATGTTATAGCCAAAAACCATTTTCCATCAAATTCCACAAAAATAGCCAAAATTGTTAGATAAATCATTTTATGTAATTTTACATGTTTTAAAAGCTTCCAGCTACTTTTGTCGAACACTCATAGGGCGTGTTCGGCAAAATTAGCTGGTAGCGGGTAGCTTGTAGGTTGTAGCGTTTTGTTAAATGCTACATGAAGTAGCATTTGAATTTTGAGCGTTTTGTTTAAACTAAACGCTAGAAGCTTGTAGTGTCGGACGTGAATTTTTGTTCAAAATGGAGCGTTTTGTTAAACGCTAGAAGCTAGAAGCTCTCAAATGCTCCCAAACGCTACGTGCCGAACACGCCCATATACAAATAGAAACTTTTTAGCTAGTTTTGTCGAACACGCTCGTCCACATTACATCCATGTTTATTTTTGAAATAATTAATATTATTATTAAAATAAGTTTTATTATTCCTGAATATTATTATAATAAAGGGAATTGGTGTTTGTTTGTGATCATGATGATAATGCGGGAATGTAAATACAATAGCAACAATAGTCCATACCAAACCAAATTCAAAGATACCTTCATGATCTTTATGGGATTTGTTTTTACTTTTTATCATGAAAGAAGATGAAGGTCGCTTTGCATATGGCTTTGAAGGGACATTGTTTCAATCGTATTCACCACTTCCTTTATCATCTTCACAAACAAACGCTATTCCATTAGTTATAAACTTATAATAATAATAATTACGTTAAATCATAATTAATTTTTTTTAAAATCTACATAGATATCACGTGGACACATGTACAAATTTTTCCATATCAAATGTCACCAAGGAATAGATGCCGCTTTACACGGCTAAAATTTACTTTGATGGCTTAGTAGAAATATTAAAACACTACAACAAAACAGACCTTCACCCACGACCTATTTGTGGGTAATCAGTGGGTAATGGTCTTTATCCACGGATTGTCCACGAAACTAGATTCGTGGGAAAAAGCTCGTGGGTAATGTTTTCCCACGGATTACCCTCTGAATTACCCACAGATTATCCACATACATATTAACTCACAGATTTACCACAGACAGTTTACCCACAGTTTATCCACGACAAAGTTATCCACAGCTTATCCACGACTAGATTACCCACGGAGTATCCACAAAAAGATTTC